CCGCTCGCCCTCCCCCCACACGCCCCCGCCAAGCGCATCAGCTGCCCGCGCAGGCCAAGAGCTGCGCCCACCGCCGCTTTCCGCTCGGGGAGCTTCCTTGCGGCGCCAACTGCGCGGCCGACACGGCTTCCTCGGTCGCGCGTCTGAAGCGCGTGCGGGGCGGGCCAGATCTGCCGGAGGAAGGGCTGCTCGCCGGGGCGGCTCGGATCCCTTCCCCAGAGCCAGGCGTTGGCCGAGGCCTCCGGGCCCCGCCTGGCCTTGCAGAGCCTCTCGGCTCTGGGGACCCCGGAGAGGCGCGGGGGGAGGCTGGCGCCCGGAGCAACCTCGCAGCTGCTGGAGGTTAGCGCCATCCATGCTTCCGTTCAGATCTGATCCCTGCGTTTGTATCAGGTTAGTAACAGCCTCTCTGAGCTTGGATGCTGTTCACTTCCTTGCCTTGCACAAGAGGTGAGGTGATGTCAAAAATACTGGGCCATCTTGATGGACTTTTCCATATCATGGGCCTGCACTGTGCGATGGTGGTAGGGAGGACTGACAGGCCCAGACGGCTAGGAAGGGGGTGGGAGAGAGAGAGAGAGACCCACCTGTGGAGCCACAGACATCCCAGTCTGAAGGACATCTCCCCTTACATCAGCAGGAGCATAATAAACCCACCTTGGGAAACCTCCTGCAGCCCATTGCAGACAAGTCATTAATGCACTTCATCCTGTTTTTAAGCACGGCATAGGCAGTGGTTTTGCACAGATGCATCTTGGAGCCATGACCCCAACCGTAGGTTGAGTAAGAGCCATTTTTCCCACATTCTTCCCTAAAGTTCCCATTAAAATGTTAAGATGTGATCATGACAAGGTGCACACCCCACAGAGATATTTGTCACCCTGCTGAAACCGGCTGAAAGGGTCGGTGAGGGTTCTCTGCTTTCAAGGACTGGACACACCACAGAGTAGCAAATGTGTACACAATGCTTTAGGGGGACACAGTGGCACAGCGGCTAATGATGCTGAAAGTTGCTGGCCAGGAATGGTTGACACTTCAGCGGTTCGAGCCCAGCTCCATGCGACAGAATGAGCTCCTGTCTCATCCCCAGCTTCTGCCAACCCAACAGCTTGAAAGCATCCGTGAGTAGATAAATGGGCACTCTCACCCCAGTGGGAGGAAAAACGCTGGCGGCGCCTTGCACGGGAGACGGGACCAGTTGCCGGTAACACAGAAGTCGCCTAAGCCCGGAAACGGCCCGAAGCAACGGAAACCCCGCCTCCTGCGCTCGCCGGCTGGGCTCCGCTCTAGGAAGGAGGCCATGGCAAACCCCTTCCGAAACACCTTGCCTTGAAAACTGCAGGGACCCGTCCAGGCAGTTGCCACAGAATCACCCACGATTGTGTGCAGATAAAAAAAACACCACAGTGCTTTATTACACCGTGCACCTTCCCCAATAACAGACTATTGCTCTCTACCCTTCTAGGACTTACAAGGTGATGCTGCTGCTGTGTAAATATGTCTTTAACACTCAGTCTTTTAATACTTAGCTCAAGCAAAAGTCTGTAAGTCGGTTGTTTTTCTTCTAGTTGGTGCTGAGCTCCAAGCTCCAGGCAGGACTCCCCCCAGGATAGGCTGCTGCCGCCGGCCACAACTTGTGGTCCTGGCTGTTGAATGATGCTCCTCTTGCCTGCTGGCGACAGCCGCCAGTCTCCAGATGTGGCCTCCGCTTCCCCTTTGCTCATCTCCTGTTTTCCCACACGCACGCACACCCCACTCTGTCCTAGCCTTTGCTTTGGCAAGCTAAGAGCCTGGGTGGGGTGAGGCTGCCTCTGGACGTGGCTGGCTGGGGGATTCTGGGAGTTGAAGTCTACTGAGTTGCTGAGGTTGAGGAACCCTGGTCTAATGTCCCTGAGTTTCTGACAAAACTTCATCTGGTAAGAGAAAGAATAGCTTAGCTCAAAGGAAGGAAAACAAAAAAGCATCATGGAAAAAGTTAAAATTTGTGTAACTTAGCCACTTTATTGGATTTTTCTGAAATTTGCCCAGGTTTGTTTGGCGTTTATATGGAATAAAATAGTGACAGATGTCTCCATAGCTTTTTGCAGGTACTTCCAATTATGAACTACAATGAACGTGAATGGCAAAAGATGAGAAAATCAGCCAGAGAGCCATAATGACGTTTGCTTGGCTGGGGGAATTTAGGGAGTTGAAGTCCCCACATCTTAAAGTTGCCAAGTTTGAGAAACATTGATTTAGCTTGTTGTGTGAATCTAGCTGATTATAGTTTATTCAGTAAATCATGATTAAGCAAGCTATAGCATAGTGTGATGAATAATTCCAGTTGTTTAGCCAGCCCGATCAAGGGAGATGAATTCTGGGAAATAACTGTCCCCACTTCCAAAGTTTCTTGCAGGGAACCCAGCACAAATCATCCTCCTTGGGCAATTCTCGAGAAATTGGCTGCAGAGTGAAAATCCACATTTTATGGCCCTATGTAGGACTATTAGTCCTAATCAATTTAAGGGCAGGTTTCTGCAAAAAAGGAAGAAGTGAGTTGGGTCTCCCCCCTCAGGAAGGCATGGAGTGAATCCAACCGGAGACGAGGGAGAGCCCACATTCGCTCCTGCATCGTGGCGTTTCCCTGCCCTGATTGTGTCTTCCGAGAGCCGCCAGCTGGCCTGGTTTAGGGTGACCCCCTGGTCACCATCCTGGGGAAGGAAGGACCAAGGGACCCTCCAGAGGCTGCGGGGAAGAGGTTTTATGCCATCTGGCAGATAAAGTTGCTCGGCAGGTCCAGATGAGTTGCCCGTGGCAGTCTTGTGATATTCCGCGACTCCTGATGAGGCGGGCAGGTCTTCCATGTGGTAAGTTCATGCACCTGTCTGTTAGATCCAGGCCTCCCCCGGGTTGTGTGGGAGGTTACCTGTGTGGGGGTCCGTGTAATGATATCAGCCTCTTTGAGGGAGGGAGGGAGGGGTGGTCCTGCTGGCCTTAAAGGTGGCAGGGGTATGCCCCCTCCTCAAGACGCCATCGCTGGACCCCTCCATTCTGGACAATTATCGTCCAGGCTCCAGTCCTCTCTTCTGGGGAAGGCTGTCGAGAAGGTGGCCGGGCGGCAGTTCCAGAGGATCTTGGAGGAAATGCACTCTCTGGGCCCGTTCTATCTGTACAGGCCCAGGCACAGTTTGGAGACAGCACTGGTCATGCTTGTTGATACCTTTGGGGGGCCGGGATGGGGTGGTGCGCCCATCCTTGTGCTCCTTGATCTGTCGGCAGCTGTTGATACCGAGGACCAGCCTCTCCTTCCGAGCCGGCTGCAGGGGTTGGCGCTGGGAGGCGCAGCGGTGCACGCCCTTCCTCAGGGGTCAGGTCCAGTCAGTGCTGATGAGAGAGGAGAGATGGCGCCCGCCCCCCTTCGGGTGAGGGGTCCCTCAGGACTCAGCATCCGCCCCCTTCCTGTTTAGCATATATGTGAAACTGCTGGGTGAGGCCATCCTTTGGTATCATCAGTCTGGTGTGCATCTCAATCCCGGGCTGTGCAGGTGAAGCTGGCAACGTCCTGCCCGGGGTCTGGAGGCTATTCAGGCCTGGAAGGTGTGGGACAGGCTGCCAAGACTGAGCGGCTGTGGCTGTTTGGGCCTCCATGGTCTGGGGTGTTTGGTCTCGGATGGGGTGTCCCTTCCCCACCTGAGACTAACGCACCGTGTGGGCAGTCTCTGCGGTGGAGCAGGTGGCAGCTGTGGCCTGAGGGCCTTTACGCAGCTCCATCCTGTGTACCCGTTGTGCCCTTTCCTCCACTGAGAAGCCCTTCAGACAGTCGCTCGCACCCTAGGTACTTAACAGTTGGAGTACTGCAACACACTACATGGGGCTGTCCTTGAAGATCGTCCAGAAGCTCAGCTGGCTCAAAATGCAGCCGTGCAGCAGAAATGGCTGCTTCTCATTATTTTTATTTTTATTTATTTATTTATTGAATTTCTCTCCCACCCATCTCCCCTACAATAGGCGGATTATGCCCGTGGGACATCTTTGCTCCATGAGCTGGACTGGTTGCCGGTTGGCTTCCAGGCGCAGTTCAAGCTGCTGGTTGTCACCTATAAAGCCCGTCATGGCACGGGGCCGGGTCGCTGGCGGCATCCCCTGTCTCCGGTCGCTTCCAGCCAAGGTGGGCACGAGCCAGGTCCCCTCATCGAGCGTTGTAATCCTGCGAGTCTGTTGAAGCGTGCCTTCTCTGCTGCGGCCCCTGCCCCCCAGAGAGGCACGTGCCCCCCGCTCTCCTTGGAAGTCTCCTCGGGCCTGGCTGTGGAGGCCCTGCTGAGTTTTTGCAGTTGCGGAGTGTTATTTTCGGTTAGGGCAACCATGCGGGTTTTAATGCCGCTTTAATATATGCATTGGACTGACTGTATGCCTCCCGGGGTCTTCTTGGAGCTGGGTGGGCTCAACCAATGCAATAAATCCATAAACGAGGGTTGCATCCATGTGTGGAACGGACAGGATGAGCTGTTCAGAGCAGGGAACCAGAGTTAAGGACTTCCATTAGTGACCGTGTAGCTATAGCAATAATAGTAATAACAATGACAACATAATGGCTTAAACAACGGGGAAGCTGTTCTCCGTGATCAGGAGGGAGCGTTGTGTCTGGACGCCAAAGGCACCTCTGCGAATGCGTGCCGGGGTCAAGTGACATCAGGCTGGGAGTTGACACGTCCTCCTTTCTCCCATTTTAGATTTGGCATTGAACGCGTTGCTGGATGTCCGACTGCCACAGGACCACATTACTACATCCTCTCCCTCCCCTCCCAGCCACCAAACCTGCCTGGGCAAAAAAACCCAACTGATAGAGTTGGAAAGTAGGACACCAGGTGATCCTCCTTTTCTGCACCATGAAGGAAAACATTTGGTTTCCGAGGATGATGTATCCAACAGCTTGGCGCAGCTCTCCAGCTACTCTGGTTTCCATGTTAGAGGACACCCACCCAGTGCTTGGAGGAGTCCTAAACCCCAGTTAGGGATTGCTTTACATGTTCATGTTCCTGCTGATGTTCGTTCTTAATGTTACTCTGTAGTTCCTTTGAAGGCATAACAGAGGGGAATAAATAACCCACATTCAAGGGAAGGTGTGTCTAGGCGAGACAAAGGGCACAATCATTTCAGTTTGCAGCTAGTCCAGACCAGGACCCTTATGTCACCCACTAGTCACCCGGTGGTCTGCCAACATTCCCTCTGGGTGGCCAAGCCCCCTTCCCATTTCCTGAGCAGCAAAGAGGTTGCTGAAAGGCTCTGCTCATACCGTATGTTTAACCTGGTTACTGAATAAACCCATTTTCTGGGTGCCATAAAGCACCAAATCATAAGGCAGAATGCAGAGGAATCTGGGAGAGAGGGGGAAGAGGCATTGGGAGGCAATGGGCTCCAGGGTCCGAGGAAACTGGCGCACAAATGCCATCTTTGGCAACATTTTGCAGGGTGTCGGGCATGGCAATTCAGAGGCACAGCCTGGGGGCTTGCTTGTGAGTAACAGGCATTTACACAATGCACTCGGCCTCGTCAGCTAAAAAACAGGCAGGTGCATCTAGGAATTGCATCTTAGCAAACTGGGCCCTTTGCATGAGCCCAGAGTCACGGCTGAGGAATCCGTAGCTTAAGCCTG